ATATATATATATATATATATATATATATATATATATACACAAAAATAATCCATTTAGAATTTTCTTCAAATATATAAATTAACATCACTTAACTAGATGAATTTTACAAATCGCTCTTTACAAATCATGGTGTATGCTTTTTGCTTTAGTTATGGATGGTCTTACTGGACATCTACAGGAGGATGTACCTTGGTGTATGCTTTTTGCTGATGATATTCTTCTCGTGGATAAAACGAGAGAAAAAGCCCAAGAAAAACTTGAATTATGGAGGTCTACATTGGAGTCTAAAGGCCTTCGTTTAAGTAGAACTAAAACTGAATACATGGAATGTAATTTTAGTAGTAATAGCTCTAGTGACAGAAGTGTGACTTTGGGTGATCAAATTATTAAAAGGTGTGAACGATTTAGATATCTTGGGTCCGTTGTCCAAAGCGATGGTGATATAGATGGGGATGTTAATAGTAGAATTCAAGTTGGTTGGTTGAAGTGGAGGAATGCTTCGGGCCTTTTGTGTGATAGAAAAGTACCGCTAAGACTGAAAGGAAAATTTTATAAGACGGTGGTGAGACCTGCAATGCTCTATGGCGCTGAATGTTGGCCTTTAAAAGAGAAGCATAATAATAAGTTAAGTGTTGCCGAGATGAGAATGATTAGGTGGATGAGTGGCTTTACACTTAGAGCAAAATGCAGAATGAATATATTCGTGATAGGGTTGGTGTAGCTCCTGTGACAGACAAAATTAGAGAAAGTCGTCTTAGATGGTTTGGTATTAAACGTCGACCATTAGATGATCCGATTAGGAGAGTAGATGTTTTAAATTCGACTAGTGTTAAGAAAGGCAGAGGTAGACCTAGGAAGACTTGGGCTTATTGTATTAAAAATGATCTTAATTTACTAGAACTTAATGAAAATATGACACTATATAGGACGCAATGGAAAAAAAAGATTCATGTGGCCGATTCCCCACGTAGTGGGATTAAGGCTTTGTTGTTGTTGTTGCTCTTTACAAATCATGGATGAATTTTTCATAAAATAAAGCCTCGAACAATTATTTTAGCTCATATTAAAAGAGTATGGGGGCTAATTTCACATTTTTATAGACCGTGATTAAACGAACTTCATATAAATAGTGAAGGAACTATTTTGGCATTTTACTTGTTATATTAATGTGAATGACATAGGATGGTAGAATCGTGGATCAAAAGTAGGGTAAAAGTCATGAAAATAAACTCGTGTAAGTTAGAATTATCTCTATAAAAAGAGTGAAAGAGGTCCAGCTCAAGTGACATACTTCTTGGGATAGTTTGTATTAGCTAATGATGACAGGATTGTCCGCATCTGTTAGGGGGTTTTAAAATTGGGCATAACACTTGTGCCCTTTTTAATGAAATATCTAAAATCTTTTTTGTCATTAGCAAAGACAAAGGATAATTTTTATTAGCTAATTATGAGATGACACGACCATCTATAGAGTGTAATCTTTATACTTTATATATTTTATGTTTATTTTTATTTTTCTTATCTTTCTGACAGTTTTCTGCCTTGTAGTCCTTGTAATTAAAACCAATTTTGCTTTGTTAAAATGTTGTGGATTTACAGTTTGTTTTATAAGGTACACTCTCTGTGCGTTGACTTGTGTTCTATATAGAGAATAGAAACCATGCTTTCAGCACTGGTTTCTTGCGTTTCAGGGGATTGTCACTTGCTGCAGCCTCTTATCTTTGAATGGCCAATTTTTATTCTAGTTTAAATCATATAACTTTGAATGCCATTTAATCATGTGTTGTTTTTGCAGGAAAATGTAAACTTACCTGATGTGTCAATTTTTGAAAATTTATCAAATGAAGAGAAGATGCTTATAAGTGGCAAAGTAAGGTTAGAAAGATTTTGGAAGAGCTCTCCTTATTATTTGGAGGATTCAAGTAAGTTCAGATCTTGAAGTCTTTTCATCTTAGATATTTATTATCACGTCATTAGACTAAGCCCATGACACGGGGCTTTCCTGGTGTCTGAACCTGATGCTGTCCCAGTGGCTGAATCGGATTAGCTAGGGGCCTCAGGGGACTGGCTGGCCCTAGGAACTGAGCTTGGGTTGCCGCCCAAGGGGAGGGTCTTCCCCCTCCTATTTTCCTCCTACTACTATATATATATATATATATGTTGTTTTAATTCATTTGAGTCAGTATTGGTGAGATTTCTATTTGAGCAGCCTTTGGCGTCCCCATGTTCTTTTCTAGGGTTGTATTTGAGGACGAGTGGTGCTCCGACTGTATCTCGCTCCGAGGAGGTGATTATCCTTCGCATACCTCCTCCACCCTAATTCTTTTTCTATTTTCTATCAGCTTCCCCTTCCCCTTTCCGCTTTAACCCAATCGGCCTACTAACACGAAACTGTTGCTCCCAACAACCTCCTTCCCCTTCCAGCTATAACCCAACCACTAGGTTGTTGCTCGTCCATCCTTACACCCTTCCATACCCTTTGCTTCCCGCAATCGCAGCATCACCACTCGATCTACGCTCTAGAGTGGCGTCGTATCGTTTTTTCTGTTCGTCAAGTGTCGAGTTTGTAATCCGTTTAATTTAAGCAATAAAGTATTATTCCGTTATGTATTTTGGGTTAACTCCGATATCATTTGATATCAGAAACAGGTTAATCCTAGTCCTATACTATGATTTTCTAGCATCCACTATTACCCAAGCCACTTTCACCGAAGATTTTCTTTCCTATTCCGAAACCATAGTTAAATTTTGACCTAACCCTAATTCTTCTTGCTGATTTTCAAAATCAGCAACCCTAGATTATTCTTTTTACCATTTCTTTCATCTCCCAATTCTAAACCCTAGCCATGTCACCAAGGAGATACACGTTAGGGCCTACTCGGGAACACATACAACGAGAGATATGCCAACTTCAGCCGAGGCTTACCGACATTGAGGATGAAGCCTAGGGAGAGACTTCCCTCAATATTGACAGGAAAAGTTAAAGGGGAGAAAGAAATGATAATTTCAACCCATTCCATAAGGATTTCAGTGACGAGGAAGACATGCCACAATACTTTGGTATCTAGTATCGAAGGAAGCTGAGAGAGGAGGCCATATATGGAGGAGACAGGGACTTCAGAATGACGGTGGATCTACTAGAGTTCGATAGAGTTATGGATCTAGATAACTTTATCGAATGACCACAATCAGTTGAGAAGATCTTTGAGTGCAAGGAGGTGTCTATAGATTCGGTGGATCTACTAGAGTTCGATAGAGTTATGGATCCAGATAACTTTATCGAATGACCACAATTAGTTGAGAAGATCTTTGAGTGCAAGGAGGTGTCTGTAGATAAAAAGGGTGAATCCTATCGCTTTAAAACTGAGAAAGAGTGCCTTATTGTGGTGGGAATATTTGCAAAGGCAAAGCAATAAAAAAGAAAATGAAAAGATTATCATGTGGGAGAGGATGAGGAAGGTGATGCGGGGAAAATGCTTGCATTTGTACTACTGTCAGGATATGTTTTTGAGACTACCAATTGCAGCAGAGAGATCTATTAGTGGAGGAGTTCACGGTGCAGTTTAACCAGTTGCAGATGAAATGTGATTTGGTCGAGTCAGAGAAACACACCATAGCCCGTTATCTTGGGGTTTGAAGCCCGCTATTAGGGTCGTTGTCTAGCTACAGCCTTATTGGTCATTTGGAGATGTCCAAACCTTAGCTCTAAAGATAATGAGGCAACAAAAACAGAGTAGGCAACTACCTCCAATCAAGCAGCCACTCGCCGTTGGAAACACCAACAGGAGCACAACTCAGGGAGTTGAAAAAGCTGGTTCAGTTAAGGACAAAGCCACTCCAAGTGAGAAGAAGGCTAAGTAGAGTAGCATGATTGCTAGAGTCCCCGCTAGAAAATACTTTAGATGCCATGGATTTCGTCAAATTGCCTCCAGCTGCTCGACGAGTCGAGTTGTATCTTTCACTGAGCAGGGCACAATGGAGGAAGTTAGCGACGTGGAGGCAGCTGAGGAAGAGGGTAAGGTTTATCATCTTTCACCGGATGAAAGAGAGACGCTCATGGTTTGTCGAGTCCTATAGACAAAGGATACTAGAGATTCGCAGTGGCTTCACCACAATATATTTTACATCTGTTACACTGTGAAGGGAAGGTGTATAATTTCATCATCAATAGAGGGACCAGTAGAAACATGAAGTTTACACAGATGGTGTAGAAGTTGAACCTCATGACTCTGAGGTACACCCAGTCATATTCTTCGACATAGTTGAAGATGGAGAATATGGTTAGTATTGACCAGAGGTGCATAGTGAAATCTTTTATTGGGAGCATGCTGCAAGATCAGGTGTTGTGTGACGTGGTAATCATGGATGCCTGCCACATGTTGCTGGGGAGACCATGGAAATTTGGCAGCAGGACTCAGCACGCCAAATTTAGAAACACCTACTCCTTCACCAAGGTAGGGAAACGCATTGTCTTTCTTCCTTCGGTGGGGCTCTAGATACAGGTGCACTTGCCAACAAAGAAACATCAATGGGATCAGTTTTGGTGATGACAGGGGATGAGAGGACTGAGACACCAGCTCCAGACATGAGATTGTCACGAGAGAGAGCATTTTACGATCAATAACTTACAACTGTGACTGCCACCGTTCAGGGAGGTTCAGGTTACCCTCACCTCATATCAGATTGAATCGACTGTGGATTACTTTGGGAGGATTCAACAGTCTATGCAGGACACATACCCAGTTCAGCTCAGTAGCAGACCCACAAAAGATTAGATTGATATGGAGGTGTGCTCGCAATTAGAAAAAAATTCTTAGGTGTTTTCGAAGGCATCATAGTTGCCTGTGAGATCCAGGTGCTCCTCGAACCACCGTCAAAGGTCCACAGCTCTGGGAGGTTTTCGCCACTTTGTCACCGTCAACGTACAGACAAAAGATTTGACTAATGAAGTCGAATCTCCCCCAATCCTAGGAGACTGATGCAGGGCTTTTCTATTGGTTGAACTGGGTGTTGCTCCCACTGGCCGAAACAACTTTGCTGGGGTTTTTCCTTAGAGACTGAGCTAGGGCTGCTGCCCGAGCGGAGGGATCTTCTGCCTCCTACTTACCCAATACTATATATATGCTATTTTAATTCATTAGAGTTAGTTTTGGTGAGATCTATTTTTCTTTCTATGAAATATTGTATTTGCATTAATATATCAAAAAGGTACAAAACGTACAAAAAGGCTGCTAAGCAGCAGCATCACAAAAAACTCTATCCTTTTCAACAAAATAAAGCAAGGGATACCTTTCAAGGGTTGTATTCGAGGACGAGTGGTGCTCTAACTGCATCTTGCTTTGTGGTGGTGTTTTTCCTTCACATACCCCCCCCCGAATCCTTTTAACTTCCTGCCGCCGCCTTCCCCTTCCTCTTCCCGCTATAACCCCAACTGGCCTTCTACCACGAACCCGCTGCCCCCACCAGCCTCCTTCCACTTCCCACTATAACCCAACCACTAGGATGTTGCACGCCCATCCTTACACCCTTTCATACCCTTTTCTTCCTGCAACCGCGGCATCGACACACCGATCTACGCCGTAGAGTGGTGTTGTGTCGTTGTTTTTCCTGTTTTTCGAGTGTCGTGTTTGTAATCCTTTTAGTTTCGCCAATAAAGTATTACTCCATTGTGGGTTTTGGGTTAACTCCAGTATCAACCCAGCTATTTGGGATTCACATATTACAGGCTAATATTTTAAGTATCTTAACATGACAACGTTTTATGTTAGAAAGACAAGATGCTGAGGTCGAGCAATATGCTGAGAAGCTTAAGCGCAAGGGGCAGCAACTGCAACATTTTGGAATTTACATGAAGATTAATTTGTCAGCTGAACTGATCCAAGGTAAATTGTTTTTTTACAGGCTTTAATTGATTAGATCTTGCAACTTCAGCCTTTTGTGATGTACGCTATGATTCTATCTAAAAATTATTGTTCTAATTTTCATTTGGTATTAGTTGACCATTATGGTCAAACTTCTGTAATTTTTGGAGTTTTTGTTTAAACTGATTGTTACATTTGTTATAGGTGAAAAAAGGGGACATGTTGACAGCAAAAGACTTCGTTGGGATACAAGACGAGGTTTGGCTAAAATTTACTTTTTGACTATTATCAAAAGGCTATCAATTGCCATGTGTCTTCTTCAAAGACTAGGATGGATAAAATTTAGCTTATCATGTTATAATGCTGCAATGAATCCGTAGCTAGTGATTTGGAGACCGTTGTTATGAATTTAATCATGTTATAGATATTTTTTTTCTTTTAGCTCTCTTTTTTTTTAATTAGGCTTGTGTTATAAATCTCTATCATTGCTGAGTTGAGTTCTTGGTACTAGGGCAATTTTGTAGTAACTACATGCTAATTCTGCTTGCAACTACTGCTGTTAACTTTCTTTTTTTTTTCTAACTTTGGTGGGTGCTATCAATTTCCCTCGCTGTGATTGTTAGAGGGGTCTCTTTTCATCAACAGCAAATCAGTTAAAAGCTTTGGTGTTTTGCTTACCGCATGAGTGTGTGTGTGTTTATAAGCTGCATTTTAAATTTTAATTCGTTAAGCAGTGCTTACTTTGTATTGTTTCTGTTTTTTTTTGGCACTAGATGAATTCAGCTTGTTTGAAAAGCTTGAAGAGAAAGATAAGGTGAGTGAATCCAAGATTGTCATGCTCTTTGCATATTCTTAGTAATAACCAAATCATCGAAGCTGCTTACGTTCTATTCTATCTCGAACTTTCTTTTGCTTTGTATCTCCCTCTCTCCCTCCTCCCTCTCTCCCTCCTCCCTCTCTCCAAACCCACTTTTACCTAGCTCATTATGTCCTTTCACAACCTCCTCATTTGTTCCATTGCATTCTATGTGTGCACACCCTATGCATCGGAAGACATTGCATTCCATCAAAAAAGTCTTTATATTTGTCACTCCAGTTTCACCTGCCTTGTGGTTTTGATAATCTTCTAGCAAAATGAAAATGCAAGCATCTAACTGATTTCCAGGATGGTGATGTGAAGAACAACGGTGTAAAAGAAAACAATAATGGAGATGAAGAAGCAGAAGCAGATTTAGAGAAGGAAGAGGCAGAAAGCTCTGAGGATGATTATGCTATGGTACTAACTAAATCTTGATAATACCTTTTAGCGTGGTTATCATGCTCTGTTTTTTCAGGTTAATTTATGTGTAGTTGTTCTCTTTTTGAAATAGCATAAAGTACCAAAATAGTCCCCTAATTATTTATATTGGGCCATTCGAGCCCTAGAGTCTCTAAAATCTCCAAATTAGTCTCCAAGGCGCTTTAAATTGGGATTGAAATATACTTCTGTGGGGATTATTTCAGCCCATATTAAAATAGCCTAGGGACCAAAGTAACACTTTTATATTGTTTAGGATTAAAATGCCCTTTTGCAAAGAGTTAGAGGACTATTTTGACACTTGTTGCCAAGATAAATCTGTTTGTTCTGTCCATAGGCTGTTTTTGGATTATAATACATAACTCCGTATCGTTGTGGTCTCTGTTATTTTTATCTTTGTAATTTCAGCCTCTTTCTATCTTGTGATTTAATTTTTTGGACCATTATCTTTTGATTTAATTTCTTGTAATCTCAGCCAAGATAAGTCTGTTAGGCTCTTGGCCATTTAAAAATTTACCATTTATCGCTGGCTTAAAGATCCATGGTTTATTGTGATAATATTAATGCGACTCCATGTGACAAGTTGATGCTCATTGGCTCATCAACTTGAGAGGCGGTGATGATAATTAATTAGCCATCTATCACAACAAAGCCATCACCTGCTTCTATTGCAGACTTTATCTCACATTCAACTCAGCCATATAGTGAAAATCAACCAATGAATCACAGCTCTTGGTGGGAAAGATTCTTATATCATGTGAAGAAGACTGCATCTCAAAACAAACCAGTTGGAGGTCAGGTGGAAGTTCGCAGCAGAAATAAGCAAAAAGCACCCCTATATGCAAAGAATTAGGCATGGTAAACTACAGTTATTGAACTTGAAAGAATAAGCACTGGAATGAATTAGTCTTCTGAAATAGGCGCTTCTTCAGTACCATAACAACTGCCCATAATTTTTCTGATCCGAGTGCTTGCATATGGTAAAATCTGCTGCAGAATCCAGCTTCCACTGAAGGTTTTTTCGATAATGGTCCTCCTGAAAATTCTCCGATATGCGGAAAACTTTCTATCAGTAAAAAATTAAGCTAAATTTACATCTGTTGCACACAATTCTTTTAGATTTACATATCTCACCCCTAAACTTCCATATTTACATACATAGCACTCTGATGTTTGGAATCTAAGCTTGAAAATGTGTTTTTCACTTTTAAAAAGTAGTAATAGTGCTATTTTCTTAATGTGATATTGAGGATTTGAGTGCTATGTGTGTAAATATGAATAGTTTAGGTGTGAGATATGTAAATACATAATAACTGTGTGCTATGCATGTAAATTTACACTTCCAATTCAAGAACAAGCCGAAATGCATGGTGTATTGAAATATAAAAGTGAGCTAAAATCTCTGATAATATAGCGGAAAACCTAGAAAAGATTAATTTGGGAATGTTTTTGACATCAAATCAAACTATAATTTCATTAAGTTTATTTGTACAATCAGCAACTGACTTAGTAATTTGCCTCTTAGTAGATAGCTCACCCATGATCAGGTCAGTAAGCTGAAGATATATTTTCTATTGCATCTCTTCACCTCTTTTTTAATTAGTTATGAGATCCTTACTAGTAAGGTGACTTGCCATTCTTTGTGATCTTAAGGATAAGTTATTTAGCGAACTTGACATTCTGTTTATCAAATTATCTTTCCCCTCATAATTGATTTTTATATATATGTATAACGGCTGGAAAGTCCAAGTTAATTTGATATCTTCTATGCAGAATGAATACTTCGATGATGATGAGGATGACTTTAACATAGATGATGAACCAGGTAAGCATGCCAATGCATTCTCCTCTCTCTCTCTCTCTCTCTTTCTATTATGTTACATCTGATATGGAGAACCGTCACATCACCCAGAACAAATATTGCTAAAGTTGTTTGCGATTTGAAGCGAAAAGTTCTCTTATCCAAATTATTGCTTATATGACTTAATAATTTTCTTAATTCGTGGTGTAACAGAAGAAGATTACTATGAGTGAAGGAGCAGCACTTCAATGTCAGCTGCAAGCAAAGGTACTTGTATCTCTCATCTTTTCACTCTAAAGCGTGACTACTTGTGTTAGCTCAATAATTAAAGAGCGGAAAACTGTCAATGCATTCGATTTTCCAAAGTACATTAAGAGCTTACATTGGTGGAGTATATAGACTTCCAAACATTAGTTCTCATCCAAATTATGTTAATCCCAATAAATAGAGCATAAATCATAGAGCGGAACCATGGTCATCCAGCCATCTTTTGCTCTGTGTGGCACTAGAGGACAATTTTGTGCCAATTCATTAATTTGTTCCATGGTACTAGGAAAGTCAATGAGTTATGTTGTGATTGGGCCTGACTAGTTAAGGGTCCGTTTGGGAGGGATTTTTAGGAGCTGCGCGGGCCTTTGCCGCGATTATTCGCGAAAGTTCTTCGTTTGGTTCGTGACTTTGGCAATTAGATTCGCGGAAGCGGAGCGAAAGCGGGCCGCGACATTAACCCCGCTGTCCCGCTTTCGCAGGAGATTTTTACCTTTTACCCTTTTCTTGCCTCTGCCCTAGGTTCTTCCCCGTTGCTTCCCTCGCGTCCCCTTCTCCTTCTTGTTTCGTCGTCCCTCGATCGACATAGCTCAGGTAAAGACGAGTCATTTTCTCCGTGTATTTTCGGATATGAGAGGAAGGATGTGCGTTTTTTGCAAAGTTGTAGACCTTGCACCCATATTTGCATGTTTGCCGTGTTTCATTAGATTGTTTTGTGGTTGAAGATTTGCAAGCACCTGTTAATGGAAGATTGTCGTTTTTTGCGGCTCCTGATGTGTTCTCCTCCTCATCTCTTTCCATTTTATGGCTTTTTTATTTTTTCCTACTTTTCTGTTGTGGATCTGTAGCTTCACGAAGTTTGCTTTCGCTTGAAATTTTGGAAGACGAAAAAATTCTTCATTTTTCTCTTACATGAAATTAGCCCTTACATTTGGAATCAAATTTTTAAGCTTGCTTATTTGTTGCCCCCTTTGTTCGAAACACATGCGTATAGTTACATTTTGCTCTGGCGCTTTGGAGTTTTATGTTGGGACTCTAGTTTTGATGCTACTCTGATGCCTCTCTGTTTGAAGCATATTCAAGCAAGTTAATTTTGTTTTGAGGGCCTAGTTTTGCTTTTTATGGTTGTCTCCTCATTCGAAACATATGCAAGTTGAAATAATTGAGTTCTTGGAGGCTTTTGGAGTTTGCTTTGGGGGCTCGATTCTGCTCCCCTGCTATTCAAAATATGAATGCATGATTTCCCTTTTATTTCAAGGCTTTTGGAGAGTTTTGTGTTGGCTTGGTGGCTTCCCTGTTGCCTCTACCCGTGAGCTTATTGGTTGTTGGCCGCCTTTACTTTGTTTCATTACCCGTGCTATTATTATTCTTTTTGTTCTAGTTATAAGACGATCTTTTGGTGCAATACATTGAATTGTTGTAAAAGAATTGAAATTCATGAATATGTTGAAACACTTTCCATAAATTATGGATTATGTTTGAAACACTTTTAACATGCCTACTTCACTATAGGGAAACACTTTTAACATGCCTGTTTCACTATCGATATGAAGAATTGGTGTGTCCTTAGAATGTATGACATTTGAATAATGGTTAGGTATTTTTAAAGAGTTAGATCATAATTGAGTGGTAGAAAACATGTGTAATCCATCATGACAGCTATTGGTACCTTGGCATGGTCCTATAAGCAATTGTAAGATTATTATTTTTATGTTATCTTTACACCTAACTTGTTTTGCATTGCTCCGGGTCTTGGCAAGCTGGCTTCGTCGCAGCTATTTTTTTTTTTTTTTTGCTTCGGGTTCTCATCTAGGAGTAGTAATTTGAGGACACTATAGAAAATTTAAGACTTTGTTGAGTAATTTCAAAAAAGATCTTTAATGATAAGATCTTAAGCTAAGGCTTAAAGGTTATACGAGTATCAATATCCTTGAAAAGAATCTCAATTATATGTTGCACTTTAAATTTTAGGTTCTCATATTTGATGCTCAAATTCCAAGATTGCTTGCCTTTTTTTGCTGTGGCTTACCTCTTTATTGGATATGTTGTTGGTTTTCTATTATGTCCGACTACTGTGTGCAGGCTTCGAAGGGCTGTGTGGGAGGGAGTAATGTATTATGCATCTGGGATGAATCAAAACTTTATACATGCTGGGATGGGGTTCATTCATGTTTTGGGTAGGGAGTAATGGGGTTCATTCATGACAACACTTGGTTTTCTGGGATGGGGTTCATTCATGGCAAATTCCTGGGATGGGGTTCATTCATGGCAAATTCCTGGTTTTCTATATATGCTGCTGGTTATTTTTATGTTTCGGGTAGGGAGTAATGTATGAATCAAAGCTTTGTATCTTACTCTTTGGTGCTATAATAAAGCTGTTGGCCTCCTTTGCCGTGGATGTAGGTCAAATTGACCGAACCACGTTAAATTTTGTGTCCTTTTTTTCATTTTTATGCTTCCTTAAATTTTCTGTTTTATTGAATATGATGCAACACCCATGAATGATTCTCATGTCTTAACTTCTAAATTATGCCATTGTTGTGTTTCATTTCTTTGCTTTATCGTAGTTTTAGCATGGCTGGTAAGGCTAAAAAACATGGTTCACCAGCACTCTGGGACACTCTGGGAAAACTCTGGGAAAAAGAAATCAAAATGTTGTTTTGCGACCTTTGTATAAAAGAAATAGAACTGGACAATAGACCAACAACGTTTTTCAATAAAGAAGGTTGGTTGAATATCATTAAAAATTTTAAAGACTCCACGAGACGGGAGTACGACGGGCTACAAATGAAAAATAAATGGGATCAAATGAAAAAAGATTGGAAAATTTGGAAGGATTTAAAACGTGGTTCAACTGGTTTAGGTTGGGATCCGATAAAGCGAACCATAGATGCCTCGGAGGAGTGGTGGGCAGAAAGGTTCGCGGTTAGTAATTGTAACTTTGGATAATTTCCATAATATATTTCTCTTTCAAGATGTAGAACTGATTTGGGTTTTTTCTCCAGGTGGTGCCCGCAGCGAAGAAGTATAAAACTTGTGGGATTGAACCCGATTTGGAGGAGAAGTTAAACCTGATGTTCGGGGGCGTCGTCGCCACAGGAAAATATGCATGCGCTCCCAACGAGGTAGGATTTGGTGAAACACAAGACAATGTTGCTGTCAGCTTATCAGATGATTTTCTTGATTTCCCAAGTCCAGGTCCCACTGAGATTCTATCCACGAACCGCTCGAAGCGATCTAGACTCGAGGGTAAAAAAAAGGGTGGAGCTGCTTCTATCAGAAACCAGATATTGTGCCTTATGGATTCTTCCAACGATGCCCCAAATAAAGTGCATAAAACATCATTTAACGAGGTTGTGGCAATTTTAGAGCAGGATCCAAGTATTGTAGCGGATGATGAGCTTTACTACCTTGCTGTTGAGCTGCTTCAAGATTCGGTGCAGAGAGTTTTTCACAGCAATTGCCAAAGACCGAAGGGCGTCGTATCTACGACATTTTTATGAGCGCAGGAAAATCGGAATGGAGTTCTTTAGTATTTACTATGTGCTTATGAGAAGACCTGGTTTTTTGAATTGTTGTTGATTGAGACCTTTCATTTTAATTTGTTCTTTACATATAACTATCTTTATGGTTAGGGTGGGGTTCCACTACGTCCGATAAATGCAACTTTCACATCATTTGACACACGTGCATCAACATGTGTTCCATCTATCGCACCGATGCAATCTTAAACATGTGGCTTTAGTAATTCATTAATTAATGTCATGCTTTCATGTTAAATTTCATTAATATAAGATTAAATCTGTACCTTAAAGAATGGAATGTAGCGTCGATCGTGGCGAATCTCCGCAGGAGTTTGTGAAAACGTTGGATCTGTTGGCTTTATGACTTCTTTCGCGAGGCTCCACAAAGCACTCAAGCCCAAAGCACCAAAGCACTCAAACCCACTGAGAAGTACCTGCTAATGGTCTCTGATGAGTGTTGGAAGCGTTCCATCGCACCACACATTGACTCGTTCTGTGATAATATATAAAGAGTAATCTCCAATACCTCACAACCAGTCATCCTCATAGACCCATAGAGGCCATGACAGTTCTGCTAAAAGATTGTAAAAACATCCTGTGTCATGCGGAACATGCTGTGAAATCTTGTGGGATGCCCGATAAGCATTTCCACAACCCATTTGTCTCCAAAATGTGATGATGTGTAACAGGGAGAACGGTCGATGTATGTGTTGTAGTACTCTACAAGCAAGTTGATAGCTGTGTTTCTCCTTCTACGACGTACTTGGTTTGGGTCCATAATGATGTATACTGGACACATTTTCACAAAGAAAACTAAATTATTAAGCTAATCATCACTATGAAAAGAAGTCTATTATTTAATCTGTGACAAGTAATAACAAAAGTATTCAGTGTAGATCAGAGAAAGTTGCATTTATCGGACGTAGTGAAACCCCAACCCAAAATGTCATGGCAGTCTGTGATTTTAATATGTGTTTCACATTTATTATGCAAGGTTGGGAGGGTAGTGCACATGACAGCAGAATTTTCAAGAGTGCAACACGGAATCCAGATTATAGCTTTCCCCATCCTCCTCAAGGTATGTTGCACCACGATATATTTATTGTATTTTTTTTAAATGTGAAAATGAAGGTTAAACACGTTACAAGAAAGTATTATTTGGTGGATGCCGGTTATCCGTTGCAGCGAGGGTATCTCAAACCATATTCTGATATCAGATATCATATACCTGATTTTGAACGAGCAAGTAATGTTACACAAACAAGAAATGAGGTATTCAACAAAAGACATTCCTCTTTATCGAGGTTAGCATGTCTCTTCAACACCTGAAACATCCTGGGGATGTGGAGCTTCAATACTATCCTGATTGTCGGGCCCAAGTAAATCATCTGCCAATATATCAGTCGGAAGAACAGAGAGAGTATTGTCTCCGGTAGTGGGAGGCGAGGTGGCATTGCGTCAAC